TTTTTAATCTATGAATAAGTTATTAAGCAGGAATTTAAGAATCAGTTCCATTGATTAATTAAACGTCTTTTTTAGTCACAAATTGCAGCATGAAACCATTACATTATCCCTTAATATCTTTAGTTTTGCTTCAACTCAAATTCTAGTTTGTTGACGGACTTTTCTATAATTTCTCTGAACTCTAGCTATATAACAGATTAGTAAAAGGGAGTGCCGTGTTGTAGAAAATCTTCATATATTAGGTACTTGAATTCTATTTATGGAAAATCAAGCTATTGAGGGTTTCTTTTAATTGGAATGTCCCTGTTTTATTTTGTAAGGCTGTAGCAGGCTAACTGGCGAGGTTCTCTCTTAAACTAACTCTTTTAACATGAAAGTTTCTCTTGGAATTGAACAGATGAAACGGATTCTGTGCAGAGGGGATACCAAATGAATAGACAGCTAAGGGTGGCATTGGACACTCAGGTGTTATGAGTGCGACATTCATCCTTTAGTTAGTACTGGGTGTTCTCAGCCAAGGCACTTTTTGCTTTCGATCCATTTTGAAAAGTGCTCAGATAAGTATTATTGGAAATCGAATTCTTGACCTCATCTTAAACACGGGAAATTCTATCAATTTGGGGGAGCTACATTTCTTGAATGTCGACAAATATTTCAGATATTTTGATTATTAGGTATCCGACTACTTGCATCAACTTTTTATTAAAAAATGGAGATATGGACATTTTTGGGGGGTTTTTTAGATTTCTTTAGTATGTTTTAAGAAAAAAATAGACTAAAATTAAGAAGAGAAAAATAAATAAATTATTACTAGTGTCTCACACATAGCTTTTGCACTGATAATCTTTAAAGTTGATAAAATTTCGTTATAAATTGTCACTCATATAAATGAGAATTAATTATGTAATTTGTTTTCCTTTTTTTGATGTATTTTTTGTCTTCCACAAAGGATTTTTTTTTGGCATCAGTAAAAGTACCAAACATTCCCCAGGAGCTCTAGATATGATTGAATGGAAAAGTGACAGCACTGAATGAAACAAAAATTGAATGACTTCATAAAGCATCTGATAAAGATTATACATTGCGTGGCATTTACTGAACATTGAAATATTATCTGTCTGGAATTTCATGCTATTGCTCATTTATAATGATTTATTAGTAGCCAAATGCAATAGAAGTTTTGGTAAATGAATTGTGAAACATTTTTTAGAAGTGTATATCAATATGCAATTTTTACATGCAAAATATCCCGAGAATTGTTTGTGAAATTGTACAATTTTTTTTTATTTCGTTCCTTTCAATTGAATAATTTCTTTGAATCCACTGCATTTGTAATATTATCGAACTGAAGAACACTTCGAATTTCTACCATTAGTTCGAGAAACTCGTTGAACTTTGCACCGCGTTTTTGTATTCACGATTGTTCGTCGATGAGGAAGCATTAGGCAGTTCAAAACAGGAACTTTTTTCACGCTTAAGTCATCCCAACAATTGTCTTTAGACTAGTTATTAGATAAAAGCTCACGACAAAGTCTACTCGATTTAATCAAAGGTGACCCATTTGTCGATGCTTTCAACATTGTTTATTGTTATTCAAAAGACGTTTATATGAATGTTGCCTAACATCGCTTTCAAAAATAGATAAATTTTGTTTCGACTGAAATAAAATTGTCATGCTGGTATATATATATTTTCGGTATTATTCCTTTCAACAGTTAAATATATAAATACTCTATGTTAAAAATCACTCTTTATTTGAAATAAAAAAAGCAAGTACTCGATTTGATTTACACTTTCTTTTACTTTTATAGAGTATACAGTATTGTGTAAAAACTCTTACTCTCTCTCTAGTTTATTTTGGTATTTTGATAGTTCTTTTTTTAATTTAAAAAAACTGTTTTTAACTGTAAGAAACAACATTAACAAACATAAACATTTCCTAGAAAAAAATTTCGTGCCTTAAGGAATAATTTTTATGTAACTTCAAACTGCTTTTATAACTTCGAGGTTTCAATACTCACACAAATGTTTGTGTGTGTATTTGAAAAGAGAGCCAAAAAGTGGAAATATTTTTGTATTCATAGAAAATATGGATTATTCAAATCCCACTAGAAAGCTAGAGGAAGGTCATGTAAGAAGGAATAGAGATCGAAGGACGAGGGTGACATGACCCCTACTCCACAAAACACCAACGCGAGGGCTTCTGAGCAGATTTTAATGGGCTTCTTTACACGGTAAGTCATCAGAACCACGAACGAACCATCCACGAACTCTCGGCCATTTAGCTACCTTTATTTTCTCACATATGAGGTTGCAAACTATCAAAAATGTTTCCTTCCTTTCATTTTGTTTTTTGTTCTAGGAGACAACAGCTAATACGAGCAAACGTTCAATTCTACTTGCTAATCAGGATAATAAATTGCTATAAAAATGACATTAGATTCCTACTTAACGGTTAATTAATGATTCGTAAGTAAATCTAATAAATATTTGTAGCCGTGGTTTCAATTTCCCGGTTGGCGTTGTTTCTGACTGCTCATAGGATCGAGTCCTGTCTAGAGGGGCTGGAATCTGCCAATTCTCACGTTAGCGTGGAATGCAAGTTTGGAGTATCGTTTGAAGCTCTGAATTGCTTCCAAGTAATAAGCAATCAGCAGATGAAAGGGGTCACTTGTTTTAGAGATTTAGATTTTGTCCATTAAATAATATATTTTTTTTAATTTTATGATTATCACCAAAGAAGTTTATGCAAGTTCATGTTATTTCTTTAATTCAAATTATGTGTTTCTAGATAAAACATTTACGGATTGTAAAACGGAAATGTATTATTTTCAGTTAGATGGGGGAGGGGATGAGACTTTTATAAATTATCGCTATTGATTTATCCTTTACAGGATTATAACAATCTAATATATTAAGGAATTAACAAATTAAAAATCAAATAAGAGCTTTTTTTTCTGTAGCCTTCCAGACAAAGAAAGGCAATGTGGGGGCTCTAAGCAAAATTTCTCTCACTTCGTCAAGTTATTTAATATTCTAAAATGCTTTAATAAAATTTTTGTATCTTAGTCTGAGAACAAAATATCTGTTTTTAAAATTACTTTTATTAGTTTTTAAGGAACAGGGAGATCATGTACTTTGAACAAAACCCATTTTTCAATTTTAGTTCTAAAAAATAGTGCTTATTTTTCTGAATCTAAAAATGTATAACACTTATATGTTTGTTGATAAAATAGCCCTAAAATATGAAAAATAAAAATGTAAACAAATGACCACGCCCTTTTTGACACAGCCCTTTGAACTTTAAATATGTAGTTTCCCCTGTGTTTGATCTATATAAACGTTCTATATAGTGAACAAAATATCTTTTAGTATGTAATGTCTAATTTTTTAAAAAATAAATTTATACGTGCAAAAAGAAAATTAAGATTTTCATAATTTTAAGGTTTTATGATTATTTTATAGAAATTATGCAATTTATTCGTTAAAAAACTGGTTCATTATGTTTGATATGTTGCTGTATATATATGTGCAATTTTTTTTGTATATTCAAAGAATATTTTTGTAAGAAATGATACCTATACATGAAAATATGTATTACAAGATCTCGAAAATTATGTTCATGTTAACTAAAACAAAGGGGAAAAACATATGAATTTAAAATTACTTTTGTAACTCTAGAAAATGATTAAGGATTATTATTAGTCACATAAAAATAGACAAGCAAATACTAATCAAGTGTATAATATGTGAAAATATTGTTTCTTTTAGTTTTTTCACTTTTTCTCAAAAGAGCATATTTTCTTGCATTTATGTACATTTTAAAAAAAAAAACTATGGCACTATATGATTCCAGATTTTTTATACTTCTATACAAGATGCCTATGCATATAGTGAATCTATTTTTTTTCTATTAAGATAGTGCCTAATTTTTAAAAAATAGTTTTATGCAGAAAAAAAGCAGAAAAAAATTTCAAATTTCAAAGTTTCATAATTTTTTTAAAGAAACTATGCTAATATTTTATTAAAAAATGAGTTCACTGTATTTTATGTTTTGTTTTATATATGTGTAAAAAATATTTTGCATAAAAAAGGATACTTTTTTAAAAAATGGTACCTAAACATAAGTATATATTACGAGTTCTCAAAAATTATGTATTACTTAAATTAAGTAGTAAAAAAATACTTTTGGAGTAAAAAGTTATTTTTGTAGTTCTACAGAATAATTAAATTATCTTTATTAAGAACGTAAAAAATCGAAGCTCTATTGGAAATTGTAAAAGATATATGTTTCATAAACAAAGGTTCTTAATATTGGCATTTTTCTCTTTCGAGCATGTGTTGGTTCCCTTAATACATAATTATTTGAATTCAAAACTAAGGAGTAATTTTGCAGGAAAAAATATATAGCATAGCATTTTTTCAATGAGTGACATAAATCTAGATGGTTATTTGAGTATTTTTGCTAAAGAAAACTGCTTCTTAGAAGCTTTTATTTAACTTGCAATGTAAAATGTTCGGATGGAATCTTGCAAGTCAATTTTGAAGCTGATGTCTTCAACCAATTGAGCTGAAATTTTGTATACGCGTTTAGTTTGGATGACAATGCATATCTTGAGCCATTATATTCCGATATTGCAATAGGTTAAAAAGATATTAAATAAAGTAATGTGTTCGGGTGGAATCTTGCTACTCAATTTTAAAGGTGATATCTTCAACCGATTTAGATAAAATTTTGTATACACGTTTAGTTTGTTTGACAATGCATATTTTGACCCTTTATATTCCAATATCGCAATTGTTTAAAAAGATTTTAATTAAAGTAATTTGTTCGGATGGAATCTTGCAAATCAACCGATTGAGCTGAAATTTTGTATACGCATTTAGTTTGGATGAAAATGCATGTTTTGACTATTTATACTCCGATATCGACCTAGTTACTGTAATGATATTGTTCAGGTGTTAAAGCGAGCATGTTTACAATAACACATGTGTCCATCGGAGCATAGATCAGATGGTAGAACGCTCGTTTAGCATGCGAGAGGTACAGGGATCCATACCCCGTGTCTCCAATTATTATTTTGGGAGAGTAAAACATTATTGAAACTCGTTTGATTTGTACAACGCGAGATATTTAACTTTCAATGTAAAATATTCGGGTTTAATCTTGCAACTGAATTTTGAAGCTGATATCTTCAACCGATTGAAATGAAATTTTCTATACACGTTTTTTTAGTTTGGATCGGAATGCATGTTTTAAAGATTTATATTCCGATATGTGGCATTTAGTTAAAAAGACTAGCTGCATGGACCGGCGTTGCACTGGCGTTCTCTACTTCCCTTTCCTTCACAAAATCAGCACTTCTAATACTTTCTTTCAAAATGACTTCCATACCTCCCCCTCCTCCACTGAGCCTGGCGTTGTTTGGGTTTTTACCGAGTGTATATCTTGGAATTTCCTGTTTCGAAATTATTTCGCTTCTTTTCTTTGTCAGACAGGTTTATTTCCCCCCGTCGTTGCACGAACATTTTTAAATGCATAACATATTGTCATGGAAATTGCCCTTCTCCTCTCGCTATTAGAGCTCTCGAGTAAGTGAGCATTCACCGTTTCTTAGTAGCTTGACACGTGCAGCTATCTAGTGGCACAAAAGTAATAAATTATTGCAAAAAAAGTCTTCGACATTTTATTTTTTAAATCACTAACTAGTAAATAACTAACGTGAAAGATTTAATTGGAAAGATTTAGAAATCATTTTCATAAAAACGTATCAATTTTGAGTGATTTTAGAAAATATCATTATACTATAAAAAAAAAATTATACCGTATCGAGGCGAAGTAAAGGATCTTTCTGATTCTCCACTTATTTTTTGTCTGAGTCTCATAAAAAAATTAGATCGTGTTTCAAAAACGTCTGAGATAAAAAAAAAAAAAAAAGGCGGAAAATTGGAACTTCACCACCTGATTGGAAAAATGGCAATAATTATGCGTTTTCAGATTTTTAATTAAAATCTTTTTAGCGAATTGCACTTTCGTAATCTAAAAGATACACCCAGCCGTATAGTCGCATTGGTTGTTTAATTTCGAATTTTAATTAGACATTTTTTTTTGGTGGAATTTCGTAACTCAATTTTGAAGACGATTTCTTCAACCGATTGATTTGAAATTTTGTATACACGTTTAGTTTGGATGACAAAGCCTGTTTTGACGATTTATTTTAAGATATCACAATTAGTAAAAAGATATTAATTGAAAATCTTTTACCCCTGTTAGCTTTTTATTCTGCCGAACAGCTTATCGGATTAATTTTAAAGAAGTTCCAATTTTTTGACCTTTTGTCAAAAACCATATTATTCTTTCTATCAAACTGGGACAAAAAATAATTACCTAATTAGAAAATTATTTATTTCGCAACGATACGGTATAATTTTTTTAAAAAAATAATAATATTTTCTATTTTTTACATATTTTTCTCAAATGAGTCAAAATCGATGCATGTTCATGAAATAGATTTCAAAATCATTTCGTATGATATTTTCTTTTTTCCTGTTATTGAATCGTTATTTTGCACTAAGAAAGTTCAGGCTTTTTTCTTTTAGAATCAGTCATTTTAAAAATAAAATAACTAAAACTTTTTTTTTACGATTTTAAAAAAATACTTAAATTTTTAATAAAACATTTAAAAACATCATTTTTAAATATAACCACGCGAAAATATTTTTTCGTTTGTAAATAGTATTATCCAAATTCTACACAAAGATTGAAAAAAATTACTGATTTAAGGAAAAAAATTGCATTTTTCGTTTTTAATATAGTATTACAGTAAAAGCAAAAAAAATAGAGTTTTAATATTTTAATTAATTTTGCTTTGTCCAATTTTGTTTCCGTATAACAGCTTTTATCCCCGTTCCTATTATCCTCTTGTTGCGGCCCGAGTGAAATATCTATCATATATATGTGGCCTGGTGGGAAAAAAGTTGAGTACCCCTTAGCTGGACTGTTCAAAATTAACCGACAAACGACCGTGCAACAATGACACGTTCAATGAGATTAACAGACTGAGAAACCTCTGTCCAGCTATAATTAAAAAGTAAAAAATAAAGTAAAAGTAAAAAAAAAAACTGTTTTATTTTAAATGCTCTAAAAAGAATAAAAAAAAAACTTTTGTTTTAAAACTTTTTTTGCTATCATCTTATAAAGTCGTTACACAATTTATGATATAAAAGCCTGTTTGCGAGATTTACCTGTTTAGATAAGCAAGCAAATTAAATAACTTGATCTGATTAATTTTAATTTTTAAAATTTTCAATGTAAGTAAATACGAGTACTTGATTCTCGTGACAAGCTTTTATATTATAAATTGTGTAACGACTGTATAAGATGATAGCAAAAAAAAATTTAAAAGAAAATTTTATTTTATTCTTTTTAGAGCATTTAAATGAAAGCTTGTTTTTTAAAAAGTTTTTTTTTTACTTTTAATTTATTTTATTATTGTATTTTCTTTAAAAAAAACATTGAAATACGTACATCTTGCATATTGTTTTATACTTCAATGAGCTTTCATGGAAATTTTTCAAAACATTTCTCTTTTACAAGTTTTTATTTTGTAATTGTATTATTGTTTTGTAATTGCGAAGAGAGATATTTGAAAACAAGTTCTTGTGAAAGTCTAAATGAATTCTAATTTCTTGAAGAGGTTTCCGGATCTAGCGAATCTATTACTTTGAAGAGTCTCTTGTCTGCTGGATTGCGAAGGCTCACTAATTGATTTAGGATTGTATTTCATTACAGAAAACCCGATTTCCTTAATCCTTATTTAAGAAGGATTTCATGGAGGAGGTCAAATAAGGTCTGTTAAAGGCAAAAGAAAATCAACTTACAGAATATTCATGGAGCTATAAATATAATATAATTTTTATCTTAATGCTTTTATATTTTATCTCATTTTTTGTTTCTTTACTTTTTGCGACCAAGTAATTGGTTTCATTTACATAGAAAGGTTTTTTAAAAAGAATTTAATAACAATAAAGAAAGTTTTTTAAATTATGGCTAAACCCATTTCAAAATTTTCTTTATTTTCTCTCTCTTTCTCTCTCTCTCATTATGATATTTTTCCCCACCAGAAACAGAACTATCATTATTGAATTTTGTGCGCATTAAATTATGCTTCATAATTTCTGTTTCTAAAATCAATAGTATTTTTATTTCATATCCATGTATTATGTATTGTGTTTTAAAAATAAATTGATTAAGAGAAACAGGCGATTTTTTTAAAAAGAAATTACTATTTTAAAAATATTTAGAAAATGCAATAAAGATCATTTTTAACTATATATTTTTTTTCTTAGATTTGTTTTACAGAATTTTTTTTTGAATCAATTTTTTAGAGTACAAGGATATTAACTTTTCTAAAGTAGCACAAAATTAAAATTCTAGAACATTACATTTTAAGAATGTTTTAAAGTGACTTTTTTCTTAGAGAACTCATATAATTGATTTCTTAACAAGCAAGTTCCTCCTGCGTAAACTTCTTAATACGTGCCCGTGCACACGCACAGAGGAAAGAGGAAAAGAAAAATAGTTTATGAAAATTTGTTTTAAAAAGAAGATTTAAATAATCTTTGATTTTTTTTTTTTCCTTTAGTGACAACATAAGGAATATATAGGGAGAAAATTCCTCTTGAATGTCTACTGGAAGTTAAGAAGAATGCTAGATGGTATGTGATAGAGTTAATTTTTGTTCCAAAACGAGTTCACTGCCTGTTTTATGCCCCTTGATAGTAAAAAACGTTCACAGGTGCACGTCAGTAAAAATACTGGTTTCTTTCTCTCCAAGTATTGTCAATATTTAAACTAACTGTAAAATACATTTTTCTCTCAGTCTTTGCTCAAGTTCACATTTTTTGTCTTCTGCTATTTATTAAATGGAGAGAAAATATTTTAGCCTCTTGACACCAGACTAAACACTTCTTTTTTCTTGTGTATTACCGATTGACACCAATACCGTCGTCTCACTAATAATCCTATAGTTACAGTGAAAGGTCAACAACGAAGACTTGTTTTTTTCCCTTAAAAAAAGAAACAAGTTCTTCAAGTAAGACCTTCAGGTGATGGTGATTGCCCCATTTATATGAGATTAAAAGTACAGTGAGTTGAAAAATATCTATCTTCTCAATAGTAGCAATCAACTTTCACCTTCAACACAGAGACAGAAAAGAACACGTAAAGGACACAGAATTATGAAATAAGAATCCACTTTACGAGGCAGCTTTACAGGAATTGGTTAAAGCAATGTAATTGAAACATGTTCTAAAGGGTGTTTTTTTAGAGGTATAGAATTTTAAATTGCAATAAAACAACGATGTATTATTCGATTGTCATGAATTTTTTTTTATTTGAAAGATAATCTTGTGGCATTATATTTTAAATATGATTTCTGGCATATGACTGCCACGGTTGGCTCGGGTGTAGTCCAATCTGGACGTTCAATTTTCGATGACTTTTTCCAACATTTGTGGCCGTATATCGGCAATAACACGGCGAATGTTGTCTTCCAAATGGTCAAGCGTTTGTGGCTTATCCGCATAGACCAATTACTTTACATAGCCCCACAAAAAATAGTCTAGCGGTGTTAAATCACAAGATCTTGGAGGCCAACTCACAGGTCCAAAACGTGAAATTAGGCGGTCACCAAACGTGTCTTTCAATAAATAGATTGTGGCACGAGCTGTGTGACATGTTGCGCCGTCTTGTTGGAACCACAGCTCCTGAACATCATGATTGTTCAATTCAGAAATGAAAAAGTTAGTAATCATGGCTCTATACCGATCACCATTGACTGTAACGTTGTGGCCTTCATCGTTTTTGAAGAAGTACGGACCAATGATTCCACCAGCCCATAAAGCGCACCAAACAGTCAGTTTTTCTGGATGTAACGGTGGTTCGACATACACTTGTGGATTAGCTTCACTCCAAATGCGGCAGTTTTGTTTGTTGACGTAGCCATTCAACCAGAAGTGCGCTTCATCGCTAAACAAAATTCGCTTATGAAAATCGGGAACAACGGCCATC